TTAAGCGATTTTTGAATGAAAATAGAAAGAAAAGACACATTTTATATATTTTGGTTCAAGTTTCATGAAATCAGGTAAAAATCACATCCATAATATGTTTAGCGGGATTTCGGGTCAATTGAGCACAAAATGAGTCAATTTGAGTGACAAATGCATTTATACCGGAAGAAGCAAGCATTTTATCAAGGTGATTCAGAAGACAAAGTTGAAGAGCAAGAAAAGCCGCATCTGCCAGACAAAAGTGGCCGAAGGCGCCCAAATAGGCGCCCAAAATGGAGGCCTTCGCGGCCGCCTACGGGAAAATTCAGAAGTCAACCTCGCTTTGACTCGGGACCAGGAAAAGACCGAAGGCTGCCGACATTGGACAGAAGGCGGCCGCCTACGGTGGCCGCCTGCGGCACAAGGGGACGAAACCAACCACCGATCGGCCAGACAAGACGGCAGGCGGCCAGACAGGACGGCAGGCGGCCGCCTGCTGGACCGCCTGCGGCGGCCGGGGTCCGCCGGGATCCGTCGGGATCCGATCTGCCAACGAAAAGATGGCAGGCGGCCATTTTTGACAGAAGGCGGCCGCCCTCTGTGGCCGCCTACGGCTGACGGGACCGCCACCGATGGTCTGCCGGCGACAGGACGGCAGGCGGCCAGAGGCTGCCGGAAGGCGGCCGCCTGCCCGGGCGCCTACGGGAATTTTTCGGCTATAAAATCCAGGCTTTTTCCTCAACTCAGATACACCAATTTCAAGTCCAAATCAGTTCAAAACGGGCGTCTTCTTCCTCCTCAAAGCTCGGGTTTCCACCATTGTTGCACCTTCAACTTCAATCTTTCATATCTTTCTCATTTTAGCTCCAAATTGTGAGTTCTTTATATGTATTTTTATCCTTTCAATGAGTAGAATCTGAATCTGTACTTAGTTTTTTCTATCTGTGCTTCTAAAATTTTCAGAAAATTATTCCACTATTTCGCATTTTCTCCTTAAATTTGAATAAAATAGTTGTTGACATTAAATACATTCCAATTAATTATATAGTTTTTTACTAGCCTCAAGGTAGTTATTTATCAAAACAAATTTAATTTTTACGAAGTAGAAGTAAATTTTAATTAATTCCGGCATTTAGTTGTTATTATTGCATAAATTAAATTAAATACTCAAAAAAAGGCAAAAAATTAGTTTCTGTCCTAATTCCAGTTATATTTTAGTTCCTATAAGTTTATTGTTCCAGAATATACGTTTTGCCATCATCCATGTGTAATTCCTTGTTAATGTTGAATATATTCTTTATATTGTTAATTGAAAAAATGATGTTTATTAGCTAAATTTGTTTTGGGCATGAATTGACTAAAGGAATATGGATTGACTTGTTGACCGAAAATTAGGGAATAAAATTAATAATTTGGACTAGTTGTTTGAAATGATGAAATAGTAATTAATAACTGTTAGCCATATTCATTAATTAAATTCTTGGAAAATTATTTCTAACTTGTCTATGAGATTAGAAAATAATTTAAGCCAACCATATTCGAGCACATTAATAAGGCCTAGAAATAGGATAATTTAATGAAATGGATTTACATCTTGTCTATGAGAGATAAATTCAATTGCTTAAATAATGAGTTTAACTAGTTAATGAATTTGGCTATTTTTATTAATTAAAATATTGGAGAATTATTTCTACCTTGTCTATGAGGTTAGAATTTAACTCAAGCCAACCATTTTTAACACATTAATGACACCTAGAAATAGGATAAATTAATGAAAATAGTTTCTATTCTTGTCTATGAGGAAAGAAATTATTAGTCCAATTTTAGTTTTAATTTCCCTAATTACTAGGTCCAAGAATATATCCATTTCTAATTACTCGATTCATTGCCCTTATTTGCATCAATCCATTTAAGTTTAATATTATATTTTTTTCCTTTAGTTTATTTTTGAGCCATCATTAGTATTTGCACAATTTAATTTACTTTCTTTTCCAAAAAGTAGTTTAGAAAATCAATCAAAAGTTTTAATTTGGAAAGCTTCCAATAATTTGCGATAACCTGTGACTGGACTTAAAATCAAGAAGCTCCTCCGCCATTCCTCGAGAGACACGATACTCGGGGAAAAACCGAAAGGTTAGACTCCGTTTTACTACAACGCCGCGAAAGCGGTTATCACTTAACTTTGGAGTTCTTAGGTAATGAGCTCCCTTAAAAGGAGATGCACCTCTGTTGGTATGAGTAGTACTATTAATCCGTTTATATTAAATCTCAAGTGTTACACTGAAGCAGGCATAGGTACCGCCCGTGTTCCTGGATTCCTTCCCCCCTTGGACGCTCGTCTCGGGGCACGGGCGGTCCTGTCCTCTGAGGTGGGTGTTCCTCCCTATCCCTGTTCGTCTTTTCACATTCTTGTATTTCTCTCTTGCAGGTCTTCCTCTTACCGCCGACCAAATGGACAACGCCGAGTGCCTGAGGAACAGGAAGGCGAAGATGGCTGCGGCCAAAGCGGCCAGGGAGGCCGCCGCCCATGGTGCCGGATCGTCTGCCTCCGAGGCCGCCCGTCGGACTGCTGATGGTGAGCAACATCTGATTGCCACCCTCCTGAATGAGGGGGCCATACCCCACCATGCTGAGTCTGCTCTCCCCCCCGCCGGTCGTCACATCGAAGGTGGTCCCCAAGAAGGGGGTCGAGAGGGCCCCGGAGAAGAAGCCGAAGAGGGGGCGAGACTGCTCTTCCTCCGGCCCCGTTGTTGAAGATGCCAACGGTCTCTCCCTGAGCCGGCCGGCGGAAGAGCTTTGGAGGGAGCTTGGGGCCAAGGCCGGCCTCGAACTGGCCCCCCCGGTCGTCTTCTGAAGCGACCAGCGCCGCTCTGGCAGCGGCCATCCAGGTATTGTCGTGATTCGACTCATCTTGTCTCTCTGATGCCCGTCGTTATGTCATCTAACTTCTGTTCATTCCATCCCTTACAGTCAGGGCTGTTGGTGCTGCAAGCCGAGGATGCCAGGGAGGCCGCCCTGCAGGAGGCGAGGAGCAAGGCTGATGCCGCCATATTGAAGGCTCGGGAGGTCGCCCGTCGGGCAGAAGAAGAGGCTGCCTCAGCCAGGGAGGAGCTTCGGTCCCTTCAGGCTGAAACTGGCGCCCAACTGGCCTGCTTGGAGAAGGCCGGCTTCAAGCTTATGCCGGTGCTTCCGGCCCCCAAGGGTGCTATCCCGGAATGGCGCGTTGATACCTCCGGCTACCGGAATACTGGCGAGTTCATGGACTCGGCCAAGGATTTCTGCGCTGGGGCCTTTGGAGACGTGTTCTCTCATGCCCTGGAGAAGGTCCCGGCGAAGGATCGTCTGAAATACGGCGTGCGGCTAATGGGAAGCTCCCCCTTAGCGCGCCAATTCCTTTATGATTCTGCTGATAGCGCCTTCGCCGGTGGCTATAGCGAAGGGGTCAAAGCCTTTCTCCCCATCTTTGAGAAGCTTCTGGGCCCTGACGTCAACCCGGCCGATCATACGGAAGAGGACCTGCTGATCGAAGCCCTGGGGAAAATAAGGCGGGATAGGCGCCGAGCGGCGGCCATAGCCATGGGGGATATCCCGGAACCCCCAACCCCTGAGCCCGAGCCTCAGGTGGAAGAGCACACTCATGCCGGGAGCCGGCCATCGTCCCCCCATATGTGCTGATTTATATTTTAGTCTAGCCTTCCTTCCGACTGTAGCGTGTAGACTTGTACTTTCCAGCCGATAGTGCTGAAGAATAAAAAATCCATGTTTTGCCAAAGTTCGTCTTTATGCCGTGTTCGTACCTTATTCTTTCAATGTACTCACGCCGTACGTAGCCAGATAACGCGTAGCGTACCCGTAGTTTTTGCCGCCGGGCGTCGTCATCTCCTGGCTTAGACGCCCGTTGCCTAGCCAGGCCTCTCGCACCTTGGGCACCCGGGCCCTTCGGCCGTATGCTTTCGAGCTAATACTGCCCTTGCCACCTTAGATAGCCGATTCACAAGACTAATAAGGCGTCGCTATTTGTACGAGTTGCCTTGAAGGACGGGGCACTGTGTCCGACGATGTTCGTCTGGTGTTGCCCTCCCAGTTTGTGGGGATCCCGGGTTCTATGGTCGACGTCCGTCGTCAGACCCGGATTCTAAGATCCGTCAGCGGCCTCTTGGCTTCCCCAAAAGCGCGGGGCTCGAGGTGCCTTCCAAAGTTATTGCTGTGCCGGTGTTATTTGGACACGTGCCAGCCTGCGGTTGGTGTCAATCTGCGGCATTTCGCTTATAAGTGCCCAAATACCACGAGATCAGTCATCGTCGATTCATTTAGTCCATACGCTGCGGAAATATATTCTCTCTCTAGCAACTTCCACGAGCCGGATTTATCCCCAGTGCCCAAGCAAAAGGTACCGTTCGTTGCCATGTCCTCCGAAAATCGCCTCGACGATGGTTGTTCTTCTGGTGAAGACTTGGAATATTATGAGCGGGGAATGCCGCCCTGGCCTCCCCGTTATAGCCTCAGCTTTTCGTACGTTCGGCGTCAAGTCCAACGCCTGACGAATGCTGACAAGCGTCTGATCAGCCAATGGTTCTATCCTCCAAGGACCTACGACGATCGGCGTCTGCGCAACCCCATGCGCCATCTGCCCGGCTATGTGGTGGTCCACTTGGATTCGGTGATAGCCGGGCTGAACTTTCCCTTACATAGCTTCCACTTGGAGCTTTTCAGGGCCCTTGAGATAGTGCCTGCGCAGTTCGTCCCTGCCGCCTATCGGATAATCGCTGGCTTCATTATTAGATGCCACAGCGTCGGTGTGACCCCCACCGTGGACCTGCTGCACCATTTCTTCCGGCTGTCCCCCTTCGGACGCACGGGGTATCTGACCCTGATCGCCCGTCCGTCCATGGTCCTATTCTCGAACAATGCTGGGAATCCGGATGGTTGGGAAGAGCGCTTCTTCCTGGCCGGAGTAGGCTCACCGATGCCATTCTCTGACCGGTGGAATGCTTACCCGGTGAAGACGATCCCGCCGCCCATGACGGACGAGGAGCTCGGATATGCCAAGCGCATAGCCGGACTTGGCATCCAGAACCTCCGGTTGCTGGTGGCCGAGCCTTTCAAAGCTCGGGCTGGGTTAGGTGCGTCCGTTTGTACTTGTATTGTTTTAACCTCTCTCCACTGTTATGGCTCTGAACGTCTTGGTTCCCTTTGTGCAGGAATTTTTCCCTCCACGTCTATGATGAGCCGAGTCAACGCTGCTTCGACTGCCGCCGGCCGTGAGCACAAGGGGCATGACAAGCCCGGGAAGCCGCTCGTCCCCAAGGTCGAACCTCGGGTGACCAGGGCACGAGCTGATGACGCTTCGGGGGCCGGCGCCTCCAAGAGGCCACGTGTTGAGGGCACCTCCTCCAAGGCCATCATCGTGGCCGATGACTCCGATGGGGAGCCCGGAAGTCCCCTCAAGCGGAAGCGCACTTCGCGGACCAATCTCCGTGCCTCTCCTCCGAGGAACTCCGACGTCCGCCGTCTCCGGGATGATGATACCCCAACCGCCAAAGGTTCTGACGACGCCCGTCCAAACTCTATCCCAGGAACCAGTGAGTCTTCTCTTGGCCTGATCGAGTTTTCTGGGGTTGGCCCCCGCAAGGAGTCTATGATGCTCTTCGGCCAGACAGCGTCCTCCATCTGGTGCGGCCTGAATCTCAAGGTCCCCCAGGATTTTGCTGCTCAGGAGGCACCCGAAGACCTCCTGGAGTGTGGTCAGAGCACTCTGGATAAGGTCGGGCTCTACTTCCACAGGGCTCGGATGGTGTTGGTCCCGTTTAATATGGTAACCAGTCTAGAGGGGGGGGTGAATAGACTGGTTGGTTTTTCAAATTTTCTCTAAGTGCGAAGTGACTTATCAGAGAAGGTCTGATTCTGATGACAGAGAGAGGCTGGTTCTGATATCAGAACTGGCCTTGGCAGCGGATTCTGATCTGTCCGGGTAGCCTCAGAAAAATACTAAGGCAAATGCCTTTCTGATAACTCTGAAAACAAGATCTGCTGAACACAGATTCCAAGTCTTAGAGTTAATCAGTTAATATCCTAAGTGCAGAAATATAAATTGCAGTAAAGTAAATGACACCGGATATTTTATAGTGGTTCAAGGAACAACTCGTTCCTCTAGTCCACTGTTCCACTAGCTTTGAAGTAGATCAGTTACAAAGCTAATTCCTAGCACTTAAGAAGCACTCCTCGTCTTCTTCAAGCCTAGATGCCACCCAGGATGCAATTCCACGTCCTGATGGCTGATCCTTTCACTCAGCTTCCCGGAAGTATCACCACTTCACTACTGCAGTTACTTGGACGCCCTTCTTTTCAGAAGATCCTTTTGAAAAACAGAGTTTTTCCTCCAACTTGCTTCGTTACAAAGGATGTTTGATGAAGTTCTTGAAGAGTTGAAGAACAGGATGAACTTTGCTTGTTTGTTGGGGATGAAAGATTTGGAGTTTGAATCTTCCCAACGTAAGCTTGTCTTGTTGAAGGTTGTAGAATTTTAAACTCAAGAGAGCTTGAATGATGATGAGCAAAAGTTGTAGCAAAGTTGTTTTTCAGTTCTTCGGTATGTAGCTTATATACGGAGGTTGTCTGCCCGTTGGAGGAGGAGACAACTGCATTAAATGCGCGTACAGTTGACTTGACCGCCGTTTTTGGAAGGTTTCTATTTTTAAAATATATCTTCCCGGATTCCTTGGTCAATCATTTGCAATCAATCCTTCAGCGTATCAGGCTCATTTAATGTGCATTAAATGCTTTCCTTTCATGCACAGTCTTCTAGCCGTTGGATGTTTTTACCCGTTGAATTCATAGCTGTTGGATGTTGCTTGAAAATCGTCTGAGTGTTCGTCGAGCTCTGATCAGGTTCTTCTGATATGTTGGATTCTGATGGCTATCTGATGAGTTGAGTTCTGATGGTCTTCTGATCTCTGACTGAACTCTGACTCTGATGGGTCCGCTGATGAGTGCTTCTGATCTGTAGTTCTTATCGGCTATCAGATGTCCAGTCTTATCAGCAACTCTCATGATGCACCTCTGATGGACTTCTGGTAAGAGAACTCTGATGGAGCAGTTCTCATAGAGCAAGTCTGGTCGAGCAGTTCTGATGCACTTCTGATCTGATCCAAAAAGGGCAACTCTGATCGTCGACTACACTAATACTTACAATTGAAAAGTCTAATACATAAAATCTAACTTGGGGGTACTCTAACTTTCTAATCCTATAGCATCATCAAAATCTAATTACATTTATTCCTTACAATTTCCCCCTTTTTGATGATGCCAAAACCCTTAAACTATCTCCAGAGAAGTGCCTTTCACCATAAAGAAAATAAGTTAAAAAAAATAAACTTTCATTTAAAATCTTGGTGGGCACTTGGCATAGGAGAATAGTAAGAGTAAGAAACAATCAATCAGATAAATAAGATAAGAAATAACACAAGATATCAGAGCATAAATAATCAGAATGCAATAGAGAAATAATTTGAAATTGCCATGCAAATTAGAGGCAAGCTGGTAATTTTATTAAGGGAGAGTATTAAAAGCAACAAGAGGATAAGGTTTAGATATCTTCCTCTTCTAGATCAGCTTCCTTTGCTTCAACTGCCTTCAGATCAGCATTTACCTTTGCTCTGATGGAAGCCAAGTTCCTTGGGTTCTGGCACTCTGACCAGGCAGGTTCAAGCTTGCAGTCAAGGTAGTTTCTGATGGCTTCAGAGATGTCCTTGCCAGGGATCACTTTCATCCGCCACCAATCTTCTGCTTCTTGCATTGACCCACCATGGTTAATTATTATGAGCCCATCTTTATCTAGAATCAGATTCTCCTTTTGATGGGGAGTCATGTGTTTCTTCATTTCTTGGAACTGAGCTGCATCAGGCTTGGCTAGGTCACTGTTGAGCCATTGAGCCAGAGTGAAGGTAGAGGCTGTCTTCTTCCCTTTCTTGGATCTGGGAGGGGTTGGTCTTTGGATACCAGCAGCAATCTGCTTCTGTCTGGCTTTCTCAAAATATATAGCAGGATCAGGGGTACCAGAGATGGGAGTCAGAGCTCTGGTGCTTGATCCTTCTGCAGTTCTGATCTGTTCTCTAGTATCTTCCCCCTTTTTGGCATCAGCAAGATCACCAAGCAGGAGTCCAATCTTTGAGAATTCTGAAGCATGGTTTTCCTTGATAGCTTCAAGTGTACCTGGTAGAGTCTGAGTAACAGAAGCCAGTCCTTCAATGATTTCTTTCTGTTTGTCTACAGCAGTCTGAATATCTTTGGTAGTAGCTTCAAGGAGAGTCAACTTGTGATCTCTGTCCTTTCCACTATGGATCAATTTAACTGTGAGTTCTTTAGTATCTTTGCACAGCCCTTCAACATCTTGGAACTCCTGACGAGCTTTATCAGAGGACCATTGGAGATCATCAATGGAATCAGAGATGCCTTTGATTGCATTGTCCTGCTCTTCAAGAACCTTGGTGTGATGGAACAGGACTGCATTGATTCCATCCACTTCCTTAGCAATGTTTCCCAGTCTCTCTGCAGTTTTGTCCTTGTGAACCTCAAAGGCTGTGGCAATGATGCCTACATGTTTCAGCAGTAAGGATATGCCCTTGGATAGATGATTGCTAACATTGGTGAGATGAGCATCAGTCTCAAGCTCAGCATCCAGAATTTTGTCCATTCCCTTGGCTATTTGCTGTCCTACCTGCTCTATATCAGCAATGAAGGATTGTGCAGGAGTATTGTTTTGGGCAAGGGTGAGTACTTGCTTTGAAGGGGGAGGAGATTGCTGAGGAGGAGCTGGTGGAGAGTTCTGAGTATTGGGTTGCTGATGGGGAGAAGTCTGATGAGAGTTAGGGGATTTCTGATGTTGTTGATGGGGAGAAGTCTGATGAGAGGGAGGGGGTGAGGGGGATCGGTTTCTGATGGGGGTTATCTGATGGCAAGGTGAGGGTTGTTTAGGTGAGGATTTCTTAGGTGATGGAGTTTTCTTGAGTGAGGTTATTGGTGAATTTGGAATAGGTTGAGGAGATGGGGGTGGAGTAGGTTTGGGTGAGGGGGATTTGGGAGGTGAGGTATGGGGTTCTGGTGCAATATGAAGAGGTGAAGAGTTAGGAATTACCTCAAGAACTGTTTCTTCAAACTGAGAGTCTCTCCATTCTCTGATCAGTTTCATCATTGCCAGAGATAGGTCATTGGCAGTTGATGGCTCTCCCTCTACACCTGGAATGGGTTTCATCTTGATTAGGGACTCCCTCCTTTTCTTCTCCATCAGCCATGCATCAAAGATTGGAATCTCACTCTCTGATAGAGGCTTGACATGCTCTTCTAATGGTGGAGCAGTCAGTTTCTCTTTTCCCTTTAAGCTTTCCTTCTTCTTCTCCAAGACAGAATGTAGGAATTGAATATCAAAGCAGAGAGAGATGTCATCTATACCTGCCCATTTGAGGACTTCCTCTTCCTCTGATTCAAAAGTAGCAGCTTGAGCAAGAATCTGTTGCAGAGGTCCCATTCTCCACTTTCTCCATGTTAGCACCCTTTGAAATTGTCTCTCAAGAGCAGAGATGGGATCTACTTCAGGAATCCCAGTTGAGGAAGTTGGGTGCTCTTGTGGAGAGATGGTGACTTGCAGTGCTGGTTCAGAGATGGGCTGGATCTCTGATTCAGGTTCCCCCTGTGCATCAGAGATCACCAGTGCAGTAGCCAGCTCTGGTGCTGGTTCCCCCTGAGGTGCTGATTCCTTGGGGGGAGAGTTGGTCTGCTTCTTCTTCTTCTTCTGCACTCTGATAGGAGATTGTGAGCTATCAGAGTCACTCTGGATCACAGCCCTTCTTCTCCTCTTCTGTTTCAACATTTTCTTGACAGGAGTGACTTTGGGAGCCACAACAGAAGTTTCCGGTTCTGATGTATCCTCTTCTGATGCATTTCTCCTAGACTTCTTCTGAAGCTTCTTCTTCTTAGCCTTAGGTTGTTCATCATCAACCTCAACTGTGGTGGCTGGTTTCTCCCTCAGTTGCTCATACTTGCTGGTTTTCTTCAGCTCTGCAGCAACAGCAACATGAATCTTGGGTGAGGCAGTGAGGAAGATGGTCTTGTTGTGGTTGGCTTCATTGGCTTCTCTGAGTGCAATGTTGACATTGGATATGAGCCTAGATATCAGAAGTCCATGGCCCATCTTGGTGGAGAACATCCCTGTCTTTTTGTCCTTCTTAGCAATGGACTCAGAGATGGACTGGAAAAGCACCTTTCCCCAGTTGATGTTCATTCCTCGATGAACAGCATAGATGGCCTTGGAGTTGGCATTGTTCATCTGGTCAGTTGACCCAGTTTTGCACCATAGGCATCTGTGCATAATGCTCATCAGGCGCTCAAAATCCTTCTTGAGCTGGTTCTTCTTCATGTAGAGTTTATCTACTCCGGTTGCATCATCCCGGCAGTAGGTGTCCACAAATGTCTCCACAGAGACTTCAACTGACTCCAAGTCGATGAGCGTAGGGGTGTCAATGTCTTGAGAGTCGAGTCTGATGCCGAAGAACTCATTAAGA